TGGACTATAGCCCACTTCTTCGGATGCATATAGAATGGAACATATATTGAGGAGATATAGAAAAACAAACGTGAGTCACTCCAGTGCTTAGCGGTGTCTAATTCGAGCAGCCTTTAGATTTCCTAGGCAGCGATTGTAAATATTCATTGCTGGACTAAGTACATTTGTAGAGCACAAAAGGGTGAAAGCAGAAGGTTAATTATTTCAATCATTCCTTGTGTTTTTATAGCAATAGGATTCTATCCTTTTTTATGGTGGATAAGGGATTGTGGTACCTCCCATTAAGCTCCTAGCTGTACACTAGGCTTCCTTGTGATAAACCTGACCAAGTGGGCATTCGCCCACGAAAGCTTATGCTCCAACACGTCTGTTAGCCTTTAAGGTGCCACAGGACTCTGTCGCTTTTTACAGATCCAGACTAACACGGCTACCCCTCTGATACTTGACGTTTTTAAACAGTCATTTAATAATGGAGAGCAAGTTGTTGAGCGCTAATTTAAAAAGTCTTCAATAAATATACGCTCTGTGAACTGCGATGAAATGTCTTTACTGTCCTCCAACTTGCATTTATATATAGAAATATAAATGGGACCCAAAATGCAACCATCTCTGCAAGGTACTGATGGCTGCAGTACATCCCACTATCCTTAGGCAAGGCTGTTGGGCCTATAAACAGGCATTTTTATTTTTCAGGTTGGAAGAAGTTGTTGTTACAAAACTGTAATAAGGCAGAGCATTGGCCTTTTACGTAGTGAGACCGCTGGCAGAGCCTGCATTTAGATGCTAATCTGAAAGGGGCATAAGATAATAGATGTGAGGTCCAGAGAATGGAGCACAAACAATGAACGACAGAAAACTTGAAATAGAAGTATGAGAGTGAAAATACAAATTAATCAGACCCCTGCTAGGTCATTGTTAAATAAAGGTTCATGTTGGTGTTATCAGGTTGATTATCTAACAATATAGTTAGAAAAACACACACAATTAGGCAATATTGTGTGTTAATCAATGTTTTTTACCCAGAATGCTTGGGGAGCAGTTGCTTAATTAAAGAAGTCCCCAATTGGCTAAATCAAGTTTGTTATGTAATTGTCAGAGTTGCAATTTGGCAGGGACACTGCAGGTAAATGCTCTTCAGTGATTCACAAGCGCTCAGTGCGTGGTGCTTTAAGACAGCTGACATCACTCTTGCATGCATGAGGTGCAACAGAGGGTATTTAGTAAGATCATTGATAAGTATCTGCAATATTTACATACAGCATTTGACATTTCCCAAGATCTTAGGGAAGGAGAATGAGACTGTGAGCCTTGAAAACAGCAGTTTGAAAATTAGAATATTTTATCAATGACTACATTAAAAATAAATGAGACTTTCAGGGAAAAGTACCAGATGGGAATCTGTAGGGAGAAATTTGATTCTTTCTTAGGAAGGCACTGGACACTATACATTTGTGCATGCATTGCTGCGGAGTCAACATATTTGAACTGTTAACTTGAACTGAACTTGCCAATATGTCTAGCAAAATAGACCTGAATGTTTAGCTGTCAAAGGGCTTGTCATTCAGTCATCATAAACAAACACAAATTAGATCTTCCCGTTTTCCATGTATTCCTAAACTCTGTTATAGGAGATGCTAACAGGATTACACTTCTAACTCTTGCAACAGAATAAATGTCACTCTTCACCATTCAAGAAATATTCTGGTTTGAGGGTCTGAAAAAGTATCTGGAAAACAGGGAGAGAGGGTCGGAAGGATTGATTAGAGGAAAGATGAAGAGTTAAAATGTGTAGTGAGCTTTGCAGGGCAGGGATTGACTGTGTCTGACATCTACAGATAATCTGATATCACTAAACAAATACTTTTCTAGTGAATAAGAGCAAGGGGTTATTAAGTCTACAGATTTTTAATAGCATAAATACCCAGGGTGGGGAAGAATTAAAACAGAGGTGGGCAAACTATGGCCCGCGGGACCCTCCTGCCCGAACCTTGAGCTCCTGGCCTAGGAGGCTATCCCCTGGCCTCTCCTCTGCTGTTCCCCCTCTCCCGCACCCTCAGCTCACTGCACCGCTGGCACAATGCTCTGGGCGGTGGGGCTGCGAGCTCTTGCCTGGCCGCGGCTCTGCAGCTGCCCTGCCCGACCCGGTGCTCTGTGCTGCGCGGTGGCGTGGCTGGCTCCAGCCGGGTGGCGCGGCTGCCTGTCCTGGTGCTCTGGGCGGCCCGGTTGTAACGCTGCCAGCCACCGGTGCTCCAGGCAGCGCGTTAAGGGGGCACGGAGGGGGGGGGAGTTGGATAGAGGGCAGGGGAGTTTGGGGTGTGGATAGGGGTCAGGGCAGTCAGAGGGTGGGGAACAGGGGGTTGAATGGGGGCAGGAATCCCGGGGGGGCAGTCAGGAAAGGGGGGGGTTGGATGGGGCAGCGGTCCCAGGAGAGCAGTCAGGAATGAGAGGAGGGGTTGGATGGGGCAGCGGGGGGCAGGAGTGGTCAGGGAACGGGGAGGGAGGGATGGATGGGGCGGGGAGGTCCAGGGGCGGTCAGGGGACAGGGAGGGAGGGATG